GTGTCATAAATTCTTTGCGTTTCCTGGACTATTTCCTGGGCATTTTGACATGTGAGTGGGGCAAAGTCCTTTCATGGCACAACTGCTCAACTTACATCAATGATTTTGTGTCCTTTAGAAAGAAAAGCATATGTTCTGGAGTTAGCAATTGAGACTTACGAATGATTCCCCCCTCCCCCCGCGCTCCAGCTTATTAGTGTAAAAAACAGAGGGGAAAAAAATCGATCCGCCTTTTAACTTTGCCATTTTGTAATGTTAATCGTACTTCTAAATCCAAACTTTTCTCGTCCCTCCCCTGCCTCTGGTGCGACTGCACAGGTTGCAAGTACCTGTTTATTACATTGTGGACTATACAAGGAAAAAAATAAAGATAAAAAGACATATTATTAATTTTTTTTTGAAACCATTCCAACTCATCAGGGTTAATGAATGAAATAGCTTCTATATATTTAATAGAATTCGTATTTTAAGTTTAAACATGTAATGTAGTTCAACAGGACATTTAAAGGGCCCCCTAGCTTCGGGCCCCTATCGCGGCATTCTTGCTACCCTAGTTACGCCACGGACACCACGTGATTGCTGATGGGAGTATCCGTCGACGGTGCGGCTGTGAAAAAAACGGCATGATCTTGGCGGAACGTGGTTTCACATACAATTTCAGACGCATTCACACTGTTCAGTGAAAAAGATCGTCAAGTTGTGTTAAAATAAAATGCATAGCAGATTTCTATAGCTATAGTTCGCCCCGAATAAATAATAGTTCAAGGTCGAAGGTTATAAATGAGGCTGTACTATTGGGTTATCGTTTTAAAATAAAAAGGGAGCTATCCATGCAGTCCGTTAAAAAAAAAATCTTATTTTGAAGATAAGTGGGGGGGGAAGGACGTTTTGTTACGGAGATATTGATTGATGTCCGCAAGCATAACATTTATAACATGTTAGCAGACAATAAAAAAAAAATTAATTACAATATTATTAATTTTAAAACATTTCCAAATCGATCAAATAAAAACTGAATTTCCCGAAAATCGTGTTTGGAGACAATTTGGCGCCCCTCTGCGAGCGGCGCCCGGGGCATCATACACCCCCTTGCCCCCCCCGTCGCTACGCCACTGGTACCTTAGCCAATAAATTTAAAAAAAAGTGGGCGGCGTGCTGAAAATAATATAAAACAGCACCATTTTTCTCGATAGAGATTGGCTCTTTGTAACGCGTTTTCCATTACACCACATAATGTTTCTGTTTGAAAGCTCAGTATTTCATTTCGAATACTCTGCTTCATCTGTCTAATAGTCTCTGGTTTATTAACAAAACTTTGTTTTAAAATATCCTCATAAAATAAGGATTCTGCTCCGCTATTGGCCGCAAAAAGTTTTTAATCATTGATTGTTCTGTAAGAAGCTCCGGAAATCGTTTCCGGCATTCCATCCTCATTCTCGAAGAAATATGGGCCGTAACACCGCACCAAACAGTACACTTGGATTAAAATTTTGCCGATATTTACGCTGCGTCATGACAATTGATAGTTGAATAAAAAAATTCGATAATTTTAACGCGTTGTTTTGTATTGTATAGTTCCATAATAAAATTCCAAAAATTCAATTATAACCTACAAAAAGAAAAAAATAATTATGTCAAAAAAATAAAAAAGTTATTTGTGTTTAACATTGGTAGGTCTTATTTAGCCCACCCTATGATTCTCGAATTTCAGAACCACGTGAAATACCTGCCACTAACCGAGATCGACGGCGGCATTACAAGCCAACCATTGTTGGGTTGCCAGAAAAATACATTTTCTTAAAATTTTGGGTTACCTACTTTGGCGCCATAGCGCTTTGACCCGTGATTTTTGGCGAGGTTGGACGGATATTGCGATAATACCCGATAAAAATATGAAATGCGAAAAATATATAAATATTGCAAATTAAAAAAAAAATAAAATTAATGGAACAAAAAAATAATTGATTGTGAAATGTAATGCTATGTTGGACGAAATATATATGTTATGAAACTTTATTTTGTTTGATTTGTCATAACTTTAAGCTAATTTTTTACTAGAATGTACTTCTGTAAAACTTATTTTTGCAATACAGTTTCATACAATTACATAGGCTGTTCTCACATTTTTTAGACCATTTTCATTGTAATTACAGAAATAGTTTACCTAAAATTTTCATGTTTTAAATCTTCTATTTGATAATACTTATTCTTCGCTATCATTTTACACCATAATTTCCAATACAGCCTTTTGTAGTATCGGAAGAGGTATTATATCCCATTGCTGTCAAACAGCTTTCCCCCGAATAGTCTAAGGAGGTTCCAGGTCGACATTTGGATAACCTGCATTTTAACAGTATAAAAGCGCAAAAATACATTGGTGATAGGTCAGGAGATTTAGTAGGAATATGAGTTAAGGGTATGGCTTACTCATGGGATACGTATTTCTTGTTTTACTTTTTCCAGGAAATTAACAGTACATTTTGAAGTGTCACTACTTGCTTTGTATTGATGCAATTCTACTGATTGATCATATTGTGTGTAAAGAGAAGGTATTTCATATTTGAAATTGGGTATAAAATGTGTTTTTGGTAATACAGTCAAAAGTCGTTAATTCGGACACCCATAATCGGATGATCATATCGGACTCAAGCTAAAACTTTGCGCTGCGCGGGTTGACACATGCGATAGGGTGTACGCGTGCGCGTAAGACCTTTACGTCGCGATTGCGTTGTGCACAAGTGCAGAAGACGTTTTCGCGTGCGCGTTTTATGTAGAACGGACGGATAAGCTAAATTATCAATTATCTATTCGTTAGTGATGATTGCGTTGTTCTTAATTTTCGAATTGGATCGGCTTATTTTTTTGCAGATGTAGCTAATATATAAAGTAAACTTGAACTTTCGATTATGTAAATAGAATTTCATCTGGAGCTCCCAAGGATCGTACAAAACGACAGTTGTTTGTGTCATCAATCAAACTGAAATTGCAAAAAATGGATAAAGACTGAGAATGTGAAGAGAGGTTCGTGGAAACGAAAAATTCGATTGACAGTTAGTCCGTATTTCGGACGCAATTAACGGACTGAACAGCGGAATTTGTAACGAACAAGAATTATGTTTGTTATAATAAAGAGAAAGTATTATACATAAACGAGCAACTTAAAACTTACATGAAAGAATGTTTAATAAGTAAAACAATAATATAAGCTTTTTTTTGTAAATTTGATACCCTTTAGATCATAATGTTTTTTATTTATAATTCCGTTCATATTTAATTTAGAATTTTATGTATCTTACGAGATTACTGATGATCTGAAATTCCGGAATCGATAATTCCACGAGTCCGGATTAACGACTTTTGACTGTATATGAATTTAATCTCAACATTTTTCTTCACTCCCCTTATTTTTAATTTGCCATTATTTGAAAAACCAGCAACAATCAAAAATCCATTACAAAAACCTTCTTTATATTCTCTGAACCATGTTTTTAGATTTTTTTTCCTCCTCTTTGATGGTGATAAACAGATTTTTTTTTATTGCAGCCATTTAAGTACACCCAAGATTCTTCTATTCTGACAACATTTTTCCTTTTTTATGCGCATAAATGTTTCTCATAAAGAATTCTGCAGCACGTTCTGTACTAGGCGTTATGTCATGGAGAAAAATGATACACATTTTTTTCTCACCTTTTTAAGATTGAAATCTGCATTAATCACTTTGTTTCAGTTGACACTGAGTATTTTAATGATTTTGCGACTGTCCTTTAATTTGCCGGATTTTTTTTTAACATTAAAGATATCGCCTTTGCAACATTACGTTTTTTTCCTTGGATAAGTATTAGGAACAATTTTTCCAGTTGAAGCTAAATTTTGACGTTTTTGTTGTTATTGCCAACATTACCTATTGAAAAATCATGGATTTCACAATGTTTTTTAATAACTAGATATGAATAATTTTCTTTGGGGGGGAGGGGAAACATAGCCTTCTACCCACTGCTTTTTTAAAAATGACATTTTGCATGAAAACAAAACTGTCAAGTAGCAGACGATAATTTATACTTTCAAAAATATAGTTGCACTAAGCCATACTAATACATTGTAATAACAATGGAAATATTTAAATTACTGTGAAAATTACTGCCCATAGTTTCAAGCATTTTTTAATTTTATCTGAATGTGGTTGCCTTGGAGAATAACGTTCAAAAATGTGTTAACACATGTTTTTAAAATTACCGATTTGTTCTAAATATTATCACTATTACAGATTCATTGAATTTATGTAAATATAACAGTGAATTTAATTATATTAGCAAGAGTGGAACAAAAATTGCACAAACCAGGTAGTATTATTTAGAATGGTGTGGCTCTAAAATTTTATTCATGGTTGTTAAATGATCATTACTCTGTCCTAAATTTATACATGTGTGTCGGCTATACATTCTGTTTTTGCCTTTTCTATTTTTAATATAATAATAATGTGATATCAACAGTAAGTAAGAAATATTTTAATTTCAGAAGAAGCCATTCTTTGCACGTAAGTTTTTCTATTTTTCATAAACATTTTGATTGTTAAACTTTTCTCACTTATTCTCTGTAAAGAAAACATTATATATTTTTAATGAATACATTTTCTTCTACCCAAAACTGTTACATATGAAAATGAAAAAAAGTACTGTTCAGATAATTTCTTTATATTAAAAAATGTGTGTCAGTTAATTTTCAGAAGATTGAATGAATATTGGGAACAATGAATCTTGTTCATCTTTAGTAGAAAAGATAAAATAAGGATTTAAACAAACAAAAAAATAACAAAAGTAATTAATTGCATTGTGCACGGTTTTAAAATATTTACCTTTTCTTTATGCTAAATCCTGCAAAACGTTTTCCAGGCCTGTATTAGTGAAATTACAGCTGTATTACAGATTACCGTATTTTACAGCATATAAGACGCACTTGTTTTCCTAAATTTGGTCTCAAAAAAGTTACCTGCATTATACGTGAAGGACACAGGTAACTTTCAAACTGAATGTATTTTAGCCGGATAAGGTTTAGACACACATACTTTTCTACATTGCTATAATTTTGCGCATGCGGAAAGATCGCGCAAACGCACCAGAGCTCGAAGCTGATGCGAGTTCGAAAGGCGGCGGTCGCCATTACTGTGGCCTTCTTCTTACATATTTTTTTTGACTCGCAACACACGTGTCGGTTTGGTGCTATGTATAATGTGTAGTACCGGTGCTTAAAACTATTTGTTTTAAAAAAATACCCTGAAAAATATGACTACAGAAAACGAGATTAAGCTATACAATTCAGCATAAACTAAAAGTTTTAAACTAGCCAAAGTGCATGGAAACAGAGCAGCAGCAAGGCATTTCGGTCCACCACCTGCCGAAAAAAATGATACGAACTTCGCAACTGCAGGAAGATCAACTGAAGACTGCTAAAAAACAAAAACATAACCTTCGATGCCCAGCTCCATCTTGGCCTGAACTTGAAAATGCTGTAAAAATGATGGTGATAGATAAGAGGAAATCTGAGATAAGTGTTTCATCTAAAATGATAATCAATGAGCCCAAAGGACTTGCAGAAAAACATGGGAATCAGAACTTTTCAGGGTCTGAGGGCTGGTGCTACAGGTTCATGAGAAGGCAAGGCTTATCAATGCGCACAAAAACAACTATTGCACAGAAAATGCCAGCAGATTATGAAGAAAAAATACTAGCATTTCATAGGTTTATTATAAATGCACACAAGAAAACTTCTTTTGAGCTCAGTCAAATATGAAATATGGATGAAATTCCACTCACACTTGATGTACCATCCAACAAGACTGTGAGTATTAAAGGGTCTAAATCAATAACCATAAAAACCACAGGTCATGAAAAAGCCCGATATACGGTAGTTCTAACATGTTGTGCTGATGGCACAAAACTACCACCGTTTTTCATATTCAAAAGAAAAACTTTCAACGAGTGTAATTGTTCATATTCATCCGAAAGGTCGGATGGACGAAGCTGGAATGAAACTGTGGTTGCAGAATGTAAGGGCAAGGCGACCTGGTCAGTAGCGTAGCGAGCATAACTGGCGCCCAGGGCAAAATACCTTTTTGGCACCCCCCTTCTCCCGAAAAAAAAAAAAAAAGAACAAGGTCTCCTCCTTGTTTGGAGACGATTTGGCGCCCCTCTATGAGCGGCGCCCGGGGCATCATACACCCCCTTGCCCCCCGCCATGTATAGCTTCATGTATATTTTGATTTTTTAAATTATTACTTTGTATGTTAAATTTTGAATTATTTTTGATTTCCCACTCTCCCTTTTTAGCGGAGAATCTGGTGCTGGTAAAACTGAAAATACGAAAAAAGTCATCCAGTACTTAGCTTATGTAGCTTCTTCCAAACCTAGGTCATCATCAACTCATCATTCTGTAAGTAATTTTATGAATTTAGATAATAAATTAATCATGTTTTTATAAGGCTGCTACTGAAATACATTTTTGAGGATTTTTTTTTTTTTTTTTTTCTAAATAATAAGCAATATCGGTTTTCTTCTATCTTATTTTATCATCCTTACAGTCATCATATAATGTGTCTTAACATTAAAACTCTTAAGATTTATCTCTGGAAGTGACTAGTATTTTTGAGAACATAATTTTAAAAAGCAGTTTTGAATACAGTTGATTGCCGTATCACATTAATCTTGTAACTCACCCACGATACTCTTAATCAGGGGTGGGCAAAAGTAGACCCATGGGCCAGATGTGGCCATTCTAATTACTTCATTCAGCTCATTATGAAATCCTCTGAAATGGCATTTTCATCTCTTTTCCTACTTGATTTTTGTATGCAAATTGGCAACATGAATGTACATCTATCGTCACAGTGTATATATGTGTAATGGTCTTAGTGATCAACTTAAGTTGAGATCACTGTATATGCTAGAAAGCATGTGCATTTGCTAACAATGGCATATGAATATTGTTGAGATAAAAATAATGATCTAAAGAGGGAGGTCAATGAAAGAACATTTCAACTCAAAATTTTTTACTGAAAATGAAAATGTATACATGTCAGTCACTTGATGACTAATAAGAACACATCCTGTTTTCTGCATATTTGTAATTTAAAACTAGTTTCTTTATTGTGATTTCTTAAAAAAAAATTTAATTGGCAGTGATATCTCTTCCCTCCTACCCATTGCATCCTGCAAACAATACAAGCACCATAAAAGATCACGAAGATCCCGCATGATGAACTAAAAAAGGGGCTTTGGGCTAAAAAAGTATTTGCTCATTGTTGATCTTAATTATGCAATTCTCTCGAATTTTTCTGGAGATGCAGAATGCTTTATGCTTGTAAAATCATAATAATCATTTTAGTAAGACATTTAAACTTCTGTATTTATTAAAAGCTTACACCGTCTATGCTAAAAATGTTTTTGTAAAATTTTTATTTGATTTTGAGAAAGTAAGAAATTGAGAGCACAGACATGTCCAAAACTTGAGGATGAGCAATATTTTTGCATTTATAGAAAAGTCTTGGCCATGTATCTTCTTTTATTAAAGTTGGATAGCATAAGGTTTGGAGTTACGATAGCATTTTGACTAACAATAAAACCTTGAACAATTAATTATAACATTCTGATTTCAAGCAATGGCTGGCTTTGTAAGGTGAGTGGAGTGTAGGCTAGGAGTCTAGGAGTAAACTGAAGGATGTTTTAGTGTAAAGCTGGATACATAGCATTAACAAAGTATTTGATTTGTCAAGGAGGAGAAAGCTGATTGGTTGGGTAAACTATGAACTTTGCCCAGCCAGTGAACCTTGAGAAATAAGGGAGAAGTCCTTTTTCCTCTTTTCAGTCCATATTAATTTTGAAGGAATGCTGAATTAAAAAATATGGAGGAATAAAAATTAAATTAAAATGGAAAAATTTTGTAAAAGCAAAATAACTATTTCAGTAAAGCCAGGAAATAAAATTTATGACAAGAATTGAAGCTGGTAAAATCAAGTGGTGCTCCTGGGTAGTCATTCTTCCAAATAATGACCACTTAAATCACCACTTGATTTTGTAAAACAAAGCATTTTTTGCTACTTAGCATTATAACTAAGACATCTTACAATAAGTTTCTTAAAACAGCTCTTGGTCTTTTTCTATTATTTATGATACTTACTTCATAATCAAGTATGAGAATAGTTAAATTTGCATTATTCTTCTTGAAATGATTTAGTACGAATGTATCATGGGATTTTAAAATTTGCTTTACAATTAAATTTTGCAGTTGCTATAATTTTAACAGAGTATTAATATAGTTATAAATTCATAAAATTAATAATTAATTAATTAGTAATAGTAAATAATTTTGTATTAAGTGTGCGATTTTACTAGTGTAATTTTGAAGTAAATGTATTTTATGTGAAATTGTAATGTTAAACATTGATCCAGGATAATGCTTAGGTATTTGATTTGCTTGTGCCAGGGAATAACAGAACCTTTCATAGTTATATATCTGTACACTTTTCTTTTGTGGATGAATATTACAGGTTCAATCTTATCCATGTTAAACCTTTATTTTCCAGCTTGTGAGACTGAACTCTGATGCAAGTATTTGCTTTTAATTACCAGATAGATGTGCTGATTAGGTGCACTTTGAGTTAAGATCGTAGTATCATCTGCATACGTAGCTAGTGTTATGCCGTGTGTGGTATTTCATTCGCATAACTGTTGAAGAGGATTGGGCCTAGTTGACCCTAGACCTGTATGGGTAGTCAACATTAATTTTCCAGTTAGTAGAGTATGTGTTTTTAATGCAAACACTAAAAGTGTCTATCTGAGAGATAAGAATCAAGTACAGAAATCCTGTGCTTTGGAATTCCCAGGGTTGAGTTAATTCATTCAGCCAAATGCAGTCGAATGGCTTAATTTCCTTTATCAAAGAAGACTGCTCTAGTGCTGATCTTATTTTGTAGATCATTAGAAATTTGTTCACTCACTCTGTATTAGTTGATACACAGGTGAATGTTTTCGTAAAGCATCTGCATATTGAAGTTGATTTTTCAAAATCACATATTCTGCAATTTTGCTCAGATTAGAGAGGAGGCTGATTGGTTGATAAAATGTCATCTGCTTGGTTGCTTTTTCTGATTTCAAAATTGGAGTATTTATGGTTATATTCCATGATGAAGAGAAGTATCTAAGTTTTACAATGTAGTTAATTATTTTAATTAGCCTGCAAATCTTGAGAAGTCCAGATTTCTTAACCATAGGATTGCTAATATTGTCTTGTCCTGGGTACTTTCAGATTTTGATATGTGCCGCATCAGTCCAGCAGACGTATAAAGAAATATGTCTGCCACATTGACTGAAGTAGTGTTGTTTGTGTGACCCATTAGGACATCAGAGATGTGTTTAATATTAAACTGAGTAACATAGTAATTAATTAGTGACTGAGTTTTATTGATTTCAGTTTATGTAATTCCCATGGACCCGTTAAGGGACGGAATATTCATCTGACATCTTTCAAATTCAGATTGAATTATCATCCTTGGAGAGCGATACAAGGTAATTAGCCCACTAGTTTCCTGCCTGAGTATCAATAAGAATTCTAACTTCATGGCGGAAGCAGATTATATTAATTTATGTTCTGAATGACAAGTTCTTTGCCACATTATTCTGACAGAATTCCTGGACTGACTGAGGTTACATAAACCATGATCGTGTTGGAGACAATTTTGCTGTTGTTGTTTAAAGCGGTTTTTAAGTCTTTGAAGTTTTCGATCAATATGTCTTAGTTCATCTCTTGTATGTTCTTCGCTTTATGTAGTGAGTTTCTAGAGCTTTAATATAATTAGACCAGGCAGGAACAAAGGTTCTTTTGTCTGGTGGGATATGACAGCCGACTTCTAAATCCATAATCACTAGATTAGAACAGATGATAGTTCATGGATAGGTTGAATTTTTATTAGAGCATTTTGCCTTTTGAGTATTAAAAAGGTCCAGTGTGTAGCTGAGTCAGAGGTGTGACGTATTGAAATGGGTGAAGCTACAGTCTGGATGCTGAGTGAAGTAGCAAAGTTGTAAATATGACTGCCAAGTGTATTTGATAAATTACAGTTCTCTACATGGTGTTGTGTATCCACCTAAAATAACTCAATTGATGGGCTTGAGAATCATTTTTAGATCAACAGTGACAACATTGATATGCTTTCTGTGTGATATGCAATTGGAAATAAAAAAGTCTATTGGCTGTGAGGTGTGTGGTATATTGTGATAGTTGGGGCCTCTACAGCAGAAAGCTCTTGAATTGTTACATGAAAGTGAAAAGTTGAGCATTTAACTAAAATGATGTGTCCACTTGTTTTCTTGTAATTTACAGATGGTCCTTACAGTAGATACCACAGTTAGCAACACTAAATTTTTTGTATGAGCTAAACAGTGTGTTCTTGTAAGAGTAACATATTGAGTTATACTCATTTAGAATCTACCAAAGTTCATTAATTAAATCTATTAAATAGATCCTTTGCATTCCAAGTAACAATATTAAGCTTTTTTTGATTATTATGTTTAAAAAAAAAACTATTTCTTCAAAAATGAGGCATAAAATGTACATTTTTTCTTAATTTATTAACCCTCTAAGCAGCCCAATTTTTTGGATCTGTTATGAAGACCTGTATTTAAAGAGTCTTTATTAGCTAAATATGTATATTTATCTATTTTAGTCTACATTATTAATGAAAGTAAAAAAAGCAAAATATCTTAAATTATAAGCTAATTATAACAAGTGACAAAAAGTCTCATGACTGGATAAAGCTGGTCATGGCACTCAGAAAGTTAAAAAGGTTAATTTTGATAATTTATTTCATCCGGAAGTTCCAGGTTTGGGATTTGTGTTTTCCGCTGTCTGGATTATTATTTGCAGAGTGTAGTGGACTAAATCTATTTTTGACTGAGATACAATCCTTTAATTCGTTACTGTTTAAGTCTCTTTTTGAAATTTCTGATTTGGTCGGTTTAACAAATCCTTAGAGTTTTCTAGGTTATCATCTGAATTATTGGTTAGCATTTCATTTTTATGATTACTGATTTTTAGATTTTCATGTTTTAGGAGGGGGTTGTTTGCATTAGAAATAAGCTCGTTTCTACCTGACAAATATTACAGTTTTAATCATGCTATGTAGATTTGAGGCAATTGTATTTGTAAAGAAATTGTAACTTTTAACTCTCTTGACTATCATTGTTAAACTGTATGATGTCCAGTGCTGGTATTTTTTAAAAAGTCAACTGTATTTATTTATTTATTTATTTTTTAAGAGTAGCAGTATCCATTTCCAGATCCGCTGTTTCTCTGATCATGTTTAAGTCCAGTTGTGAATAATTCACAGTATTAACGCTAACATTTTCTGGAGAAATATTCATTTTTCAGTGTCAGTATTAGCAGTTACGAGCTACTTCATTCACTTTTATCTAGTGGTATATCATCACCAGCTGGTGATGAATCATTTGCAATACTCATAACATGAACGTTTGAAGAAAATACTTCACTCACAAGCTGTACAGAAAAAAAAAAAAAAAAAAAAACTGTATGTGAATGGAAATGAGTATGACAGTCTGTTTATTTCCTGTAACCTAAAACATGATAATAAATCATGACCTATTGTAAATAACAAATTAAGGTAGTAATAGCAGTTCTTTTAGAAATGTTACACATAAGAGTTGTTTGTAAGTCAAGAATATATGAAAATGTTTTTTAAATGATTTATATCTTATATGTTGGCTTTTAATGGAATTTTCCTTAAAAATCTGTCCAAATGAGTTTGAACAAATTGATGCTATTTTGGTTTTAATGAAGATTTTGATGTGGCACATCAAATAAATAATGATATTTTTCATTCAGATCAGGAGAAAATAGTATGCAGATTATTCATTTAAAAAAAATATTATTTCCTTGCTGACAATAAACCACCACTAATATATTGAAGCTGCCCTAATGGAAGTGCAGCAGGTTTATTTTATACAGTTTGCTACCTTTGCCAGTCTTGTTTATTACAAGCATAATTTTGCAAACTATAATAAATCTTATCTTAATCAAATCTGTACTCATAAGTAACATATTCATGTACTGATGCTCAAGGAACCAAGGCATACAACATATTTACTATTGATTTTACTTGTATTTTGATAAGCGAGTTATACTTGCATTTTGATGTCTTATTTTTACACGTTTGATATGTATTTAAAGCTTAACAGAACAAAAATATATCAATGCATATCTTATATGCAAGTGTGAAACAACTTTTATTTTTTAATTTTTTTCAGAGTGTGCCAACACCAGCCCAAATAATAGTAAGTAATTTTGACTTTGTTAGTAAATATTTTAGTTAATTGTAATGTTAAAAATCCATTGCATATAACAAGTATACTTGTCAAATTTTAATTTTTTCATTTGCAAGCTGCTACCATCTGGGGTATGTATGTGTTAAAAATTTATTATTTATACATAAACTGTTTTTATTTACATTCAGATAGATTTTTATCTCATATTCAACTATGTGGCTTTAGCTATCCACAAGTAGAATTTTCTTTTGTTTAATAATTATTTACTTTAATGTAGGGGGAACTGGAACAACAACTGTTACAAGCCAATCCAATTTTAGAAGCATTTGGTAATGCTAAAACTGTAAAGAATGACAACTCATCTCGATTTGTAAGTTGAGCTTTTATAAAAAATATGTGAACAAGTTTCCCCCCCCCTCCAATCCTCCTTTTCTTCTTCTACTTTTTACAATCCTTTCTTCTTCTCGTCCCTTTTTAAATAGAGTATTTGTGTATGCAAAATAACGACTAGCATCTAGAAATTAATATGATTTCTATGTTCTTAAGCATTCTTTTCATGAATTTTAGTATGATGGTTATTCTGAAATTTTTTGAAGTAATAGCTAAATGGTACAAGTTAAATTCACTAAATCTTAGGGTTGTTCAGGGTAGTCCTTTCAAACATCAGAGCACTTTTATAGGCAGATTTCCCTAAGATTAAATGCTTTGTGCTATCCATTTTTTGGAATAAAAAATGTGCTTCATCAGTCTCATCTTTCGAATGAAAACGATGGCCATGTAAATTTTGTTTTAGATTAAAAAATAGCCAAACGTCACACATAGCAAGATCATGAGAAAGCCTTTTCTAAAAGATTTTAGAGTTACTACGTATTTAAGTTTTATTGTCTTTAGAATAAGACTTTTCTTGAAAACTAATTAATGTTTAATTAAAAATGGCTTTTAATATTTTGAGGATTTACCTGTTGCTGAGTAAAAGTTTATAATTTCTGAATGACTTTTTTATTGCTAAGGAAGATATATATAGTGGTATTCAAAAGCAAAAGAATTGTTAATTTCTCTACTTCATTCAGTCAAAATAGTATTTTTTTTTATTTAAAACTTTTTAAATTTGAATTAATTTGGTTTACATAAATTTAGATTAATTAATAAAATTAATATTAAAAGCATATAAAGCGTTAAAGAAAAAAATGTCTCCAATTTTGGGGTGCCATTCTTCCCCTTTCTCCAAGAGAGAGTTTTTATGATGGAATTTTAACATAAATATATATATATTTAAAAAAAAAAAAAAAAAAACTTCATTTGATAAAATGTAAATAATTTTGATTCAAATGGGGAAAGGTTTCTTACTTCCCTTCCAAAAAAAAAAATTTTTTTTTTTCAAGTTGTGCTTTTACTATTATAGGTTATGTTTATTGTTTGTTTTTTGTTATAGTTTTGAGATTTGGTATATCATTTGACACTTCCAGACTGATTAATGGCTGGTTGTTGATAAAATGAGTGCCATTAAAAATCTTAAAAGTTATCCATTCTTTGTAGTACTTGGAACTTGCATAGCCAGCTGCCTGAAATAGGTAAAAGGAAAAATATATAATGATTTTAATAAATCTAGCTCTTGTTAATTCACAGGTCTCCAGCTAGAAACTTATAACAGCAGAGATGAAGAACTGCATTTATTGCTTTTAAATTGCTTAGTTTGATAATTAATAAATTACAGATTAAATTTAAAAGAAAAATATCTTACTCTTTGCTTAAGGAGACACTGGGGTATCAAAGTTAAAAAGTTTTTCCTGGCAGCAATGCATTTGCACATTGAAGAAGAAATATTTTATTTTGGGCAGTGGTAACATATTTCTTTTAAATCCTGAATTTTCTGATGGCATTTAAAATATAAATATCTTATGTTCTGCTGAGTGGCAACATGGTGCTTTTAGGTTGCTGAGTTTTCTAGTTAATTTGAATCATAAATATCTTATGTTTTACTGAGTGATAACACATTGTTCTAAAATTGTCGTTCAGTAATCTAAATGTTATTAAGGTCTTACAAAGTATGAAATAAATAGAAAATTTTTTAATTTGGGCTTTGAGGTGCACATGTTTTGATGAAAGTCTATGTGTATTCAAAATTTGGTGTATCTAGGTGCTGAGTTTTATTTATTATGCAAAGAACATACACACGTATATACATATTTTTCATTATTTAATAACTGATTTTAAAATGATTTTCAAACTTCTTTTGCAACATTTGTTGTCACGTATTTTATATTTTAATGTTTGAATATTCTGTTTTTCATCATATTGCTTTTCAATGTTGTGTTGTTATAAATTGTTTACATTCTCAATATGTGAACTTATGCTGATTTCTATTTTAGGGAAAATTTATACGCATTAACTTCGACGCTTCAGGATTTATTGCTGGTGCAAATATTGAGACATGTATCCTTTGAATAACAGATTTGTTAAAACATATATATTTTCAATTTTATTTCTCTCTTTACATTTATATTATAATATGTTTTGTTTCATATGTTATTATTTTTACCTTTATTAAAATAAGATCTTCTAGAAAAATCGCGTGCTATTCGACAAGCAAAAGATGAACGTGCCTTTCATATTTTTTATCAGATCTTAGCAGGAACAACACCAGAGCAAAAAAGTATGGCTTTCTTTCAAATACATGTAATTGGAAATATGCTAAATATTTTTGTAATAATTAGATTTAGTAATAAAATATATCGTATTTTTTCAAATCAAACTAGAGATAAGTAAACTGTTAAAACAAAATTTGTTTGATCTAAATGTTTTTTTTAGCTTTCTGTAACATTATGAAAATATGCATGCAAATAATTTCATGATTTATAGCAAAGATTTGATTTCATATTAAAGACAAGTCATGCAGTTGCATCTAAACTTTCAAATATGTTAATTGCATTGTAGCCCAAGATCATCTTTATAATGCACTGTATACTTTAAAAAAAAAAAAAAAATTGGAAACCGTGTTCTTTTAAATAAAAAGGGGCAAAAGTATACATAGCTTTGCTGAATTTCTTTAAATTGATCTTGTTATTAGAATTTTATCTTTGTAAAATGGGTAATTATCCTATACATACTGTATTTCATAAGATTTACAAGAACTGTACTAGTTTTATTATTTTATGTGTGAAATTAATTTTTTACTGTATTTTCAATTTCTTTTAAAGATAAGAAATTTTTGCCAGTTTGAACATAAAATAGATTTTACAAAACGTAGTATCTAAATTATTTGTGTAGCAAAAGGAAAAACTTTTTTTAATTAGGCTAAAAAGAATTTCATTTGTCAAATTTCCATTTTTAATAAGTGTTTTCTTTTATATTATTGTTCTAGTATGTTCATAGTTTGTTGTTCTAGTATGTTTGTTTCTCCCTTCCAGGTAAAATTTGCTTTATACTTTTTCCTGAATTTTTTAGCTTCCAAAAAATCTTTCTGATTTTTATTGTCATGATGTTGGGACAGTGGAGTAGTGAGCAGAACTGGCACTCGGGGCAAAATACCTTTTTGACGCCCCCAAAAAAATTACTTATAGTAATATGATGTATAGAATATATTAGTAATAAGAAAATAATTCAAATAATAATAAAATACTGAGTCTGCGATAAAATACTCTAGAATATATTAAGAATAGTCATTACCTAACAAGCATTCGGAAATGTATCTGTGTCGGAGATTCAGTTTCTACGGAGTAACATCTTGCAGTCACATTCTCTACTCAAAACAATTAGGGGATATTGGGAGTTCGGTATGAAATAACCATATAATTGACAAAATTATAAAGGAAATTTATAATTAATTATTTAGGAAAATTATAATGTGTACAAAGTTGGGAATATGCAAAATTATTCTGTGATGTCGAAAACTCTGCGTTTTAGATAAGGAGCAACCTGCAGCATTCCTTTTGTAGTAGGAGATTAAAAACAATTGGCAATGCGTTTACTGCTTTGTAGCAGTGAACATATGATGTCTCAGCAAGATGACTTATTTTAATCAGTAGATCAGTCATTTACAGGAAATTCAATCCATTGTAGTGGAAGCGTTAGGAGTTTCTCAAAATGTCATTTCCAGACTATGGAATCGGTTTGGGGAAAATAGATATGTTTGAGAAATTCGGGACAAAGTCGTGTTATCATTTTAAAATAAAAAGTGGGAGCTTAATGTGCATTTCGTTCAAAAAATAAAAATATATCTCTATTTTTAGAGAAATAAAGTGGTCAGAAAGAACGTTTTGTATAAGGAGATATTTGGTTGATCTACTGCAAATATTTTATTACACATTTTATCAGACAAATCAAGAAAATAATTATTAAATTTAAATATATTTTCTAGAAGTCGATCAAAATAAAAATTGAAATTTTCCAAAAAATCTTGTTTGGAGATCATTTGGCACCCCTCTGCGAGCGGCACCCGGAGCATCATACACCCCTTTGGCCCCCCTTGCTACGCCACTCCGTTGGGAAGTATGTAATCATTTTCTTCATTGCAACTAATTTATGGAATAAAATGCAAACAGCGTACCATCATTCAGTTCCTGACAAAAGGAGAATGTGATCTGTCCAGTACCCACAGAAAGCAACAAGATATTAATGAAGATGATGATATTAGCAAAAGGAGTACACACATCTGAAATTATTTGCACAATTATGGGCAGTTGATAGATGCGATATTTAGTAATGATGTTTAATTTTTGGTAAATCACTGCAAAATTCCATGACAAAATATTCCGTTGGTGAGAGATTATTTTATTTATAGCACACTACTACCAGGCTAATGTTAAGGGCTACTTATGGGAATTATTACCTTGTTCTTTAGCATTTCCTGTATATACTTTTCTATAATTTCTTCCTTCATTCTGTTGTATTTGTATGGCTTTCCTCTGTGAGGGGAGGGTGGCATTTACTGTGTCTGTGTTGTGATTTACAATTTGTGTTAGACCTGGAGTATCATCAAATAATTTAACAAAACGACTTACCAACTCTTCCAGCTTGGGCTTCTCTTTTGCCTTCAGGTGTTTCAAATCAATGGCTGAAGGGTGCGTTTCTGTCTCCTGTACCTTATCAGGTACAGTTAATGTTTGTAAACTTACCTTTGTTTCTTTTAAATCATCTTCCAGTTCTAAATCCATACTCGTTAAATGTTCATCATTAACAACATCATAATATTCCATTCACAGCAATTCAATATGAGATAATATGTCCAAAATCATATCAAATTTGATTTGAAGTCAGAACTTGTCAGCATTCAAAGCTGAATCTTTCAAAAAATTTCAAAATCCTAGTTTTAGTTTCCACACCGTCAGTTAAGCAATTTTTGTTTTTCAGAAGATGACAATACTGTAAAATTTTCCATACTTTTATACTTATTGTCAGAATTTGCCATTTTGCTGACAACGATAAAACAGAATCAAAACCAGTGGTTTTAAAGTTTGAGACGGTAGTTTATTTAGCTTCTCCAGCAGCTGTCGGATCACATGCTCATATGATTTAAAGTAGGCTGTAATATACTTTTAAATCCCCAAACAATGTAATATTTTGTTTTAATTTTAATACTTAATTCTACGTCCGATGAAGCAGAGATGACCGAATGACTAAAAACTTAAAAACTACATTATCATAGCAAAAAAAGTTTACCATTCTAAGCAGTACAAATACAGCCAACTTGGTGATGCCAATGAATTACAGTTTTTCTTTATTTGTTTTACAGAGTAGTGTTAATTAAGATACAATAACACGCCGGACAAATATTAAATTAGAAGCCAAGCAACAAAAATTTAGCATTATATTTTCAAATTTTCACAGGACTAGTTTCGATGGTTTTACCAAACCATCATCCTCAGCTACAAAAGCGTAAATGAACGAGGTAAGATATAAAGATAAGAAGGCCTGGACAGGAGATAAGCTACTGGTGCCATCTGTTGATGAAACCAGAACTAAAACATAATTTCTTTAAAGGCTGAAGGCAAAGTTGGATTGGGATTAGGGTCGTTAACTAGAACAGAACGATTTTTTTGAATGTGAAATGCCTCTAGAAAATCCAGTTCACCAATGGTAAATGTTTTGAATAATTTTGGCAGCAGAAAAATTGAAAGTGTGATTTTAAGACCAACAATGTTGGGCAACTTCTCTATTTCCTTTTTTCTAACATATGCCTCATCTTCCTTAATGCGAAATTTTAAGGCTCTCTTAGTTTGGCCAATGTAAATTAAACCACACTGGCAAGGAATCCGGTAAATACCCCAGGAATTCATATCCAAAATGGGTTCCTTGAGTATGGAACTCATAATTTTATTGATGGGGGAATGGGAGAATTTTATTCATGGGAGAAATGTTAACTGTACTACTGGGCTAGTGTTAGGGCTAGTTATGGGAATTATTAACTTTATTTTTGAACATTTTCTTGTATGTTTCTCATTAACTTACTTTTTGATTCTGTCATAGTGGCTCAACTTTATTGTACAGGATGGGGATTTCCTGTGGCTATGCTGTAGATTTGAGTGAGCCCAGAAGTATCATTGAATAATATTTTTAAAAAAATGACTTAACCATTTGTTCCAAATTGTATTTCTGTTCCACTGGCAAGTGATTCAGCTCAATGGCCAGAGACTGCATTTCTTACTCCTCTACTTTATTCATATCTAGCTGTATCGTGGCTTCCTGAAAATTTATTTTAGTTTCTGCCCTTAAAAAATTCCATCTCCCAAATTATAGGAGCTTGCAGATTTTTCACAACAAAGAAAACTACTTTCTGATGCTCATTTCATATTTGGCATGTAATGTGACTTTTTGTACATATGTACGCTGTTTGCCTTCAGCAACAATAACTTTTTCTCCTTCAACCCCAAAAATTCTATATCATTTATATAATAAACATTCTATATCATAAATATATAAACATTCTATATCATTTATAAGGTTTTTGAAAAATGCTCTGCCAAAAAACTGTTTTGAGTCCCTACACCAATAGTGCATCTGCTGGAACATTATTTAACAATATTTATATTACAGGCAGAGCCAAGTTTTTTATGACTACCATATTCAATTGAATTCTAAAGAAATTTATTTGCTTCCAGGGTAACTATACCCTTTAACTTTCAGTACCACTTATTAGTTTAAATTCATATTCCTCATTTTCTCTTTTGTGGTTTTCTTGGCAATCTCCACTCACAGTTGAAAATTTCTTATTCTATCAGTTCTTCGACCTTAATCTGCTATCCTATGTTTGATGCTTTAATTTTTAAGAGCTACTATGGTTAACAGTTATAATGTAACAACTTCATTAAGGTCCATATAAATTTCTTTGAATATTTAAAATGAACTTGCAGTAAATTTAAATCTTGACCCCTTACTTGGTTTAAAAAGTCTTTGATAGGATTCTGATATACAGCAGAATCTAATTACATGATGAATATTTTTTCCCTTCTAGTGATATCATCAGAATTAAGAAAACAGAGTTATCTAATAAGAGACTGAAATTTCATTATTACCAGTGACAGTGTGGGTAGTGATATTAAATTATGCTAGTGTGGGTAGCAATATTAAAGTAATTTCTCACAAATGTTTGAATTGAAATATAGTTTACTACCCTTGACTCAAGTTCAAGTAATTAAAACATTGAAAAAATAGCATCTTTTCTGCATATAAGAAATTCCATTTCAACATATGCCCTCCCCCAGTATATGGAGCTGATTATGTCCTTGTTTATGAAATTAAAATGTGAGCCAAAGTCAAAATTACATTATCTCCCATTTCAGCTTATTAGATGTTTTGATGCCCATTGATTGATAATTGGGGCATGGCTATCACAATGGGAGACTTCAATGTATCATCATTATTTAGCATTTCCTTGCATTTCTGCACTTACTCCATTATTTAAAATAGAATTCCAATATCCAGTAGCTGACTGCTGGATGTACAGTCTTCGGGAAAGACTAAGTCTATGTTTATTAGATTATCTTGTATTGATACTTTAATTTTGATATGATAAGTAATAAAATAAAGTGAGTAAAATAATAATCTGGATCAAATCAGAAAGTGCATCATAATGATAGCTCAATTTGTGTAACTGTGATCTGATTACCTTTTTCCCTGATGCACCAATGAGAAAAAACTTGTACATGTAACATTCCACTCCAAGCAAGCATTGATCATCGGCCATTGCTGTGTGCAGGGCTAGAAGTGCTAATCGTGCTGTAATCACTGAGTGTGAAAGATGAAAATGTGGTTCATTAGCTGGCAGGTGTTTGAAGGCAAAACAACATGTAGGATTACTCAGCACTGTCACAGATTATGTTTTCAGCAAACAAAATATCAGCCTATTGAAACAATTTGAGTGAAGTCAGAAGTTGATTTACAGCACGCTTGTTTTCTCTTGTCTTGAATATAATATTCTCTGTTCTTACACTGTTTGGAAAAAATAAGTTATGAGGGGTTAGAATTTTTATTCTTTGATGTCTGAATTTCGAACTTTATACTGTAATTGATTCTAAATTTGAGCTATGGTCAGTATATCACTGTCTATGTATTCAATACTTAGATGTTGTATGATAAAATTTTTGAGGTACCATGAATAATTTTGACCTATTTCTCTATAAAGAACTAGAGATAATATTGTTTTGAAGTCTAATTATTCTGTGAGATATATTAAGTTGAAGATAGAACTTGGACTAATCTGAAACAGAATTTTAGGCATTTTGACTCAAAATCTGTGCCTTTTTAAAAGGTCAATCAATAATTCAATTGCTTTTAATCCAAGAAGTGAAATTGGTTTTTAAAACCGTGTTTTCAGTTGGATAGTTGAGACATGAAAGATCATCTACCTGCAAATCTTTGTTTTAATATTGAAAAAAGTTGGAGTATCTGAAGTTTTTCTTTTCGTTCTTTCTATCCTTAGTAGCCCGTCCGTCTTTAAGTTTCTTTTTATAAACATTTGTTTGCTGCTTTTCTCTTCCTCGTTTTGGAGACAGTAATTGATAAGACTTTGAAGATCAATAGATTAAACTAAACCTTTCTCTTATGTTATAATAAATAAACTTTTAAAAATTGCTAACTGTAAAGTAATTTCTTCAGAAATATTTTATGCAGGTAGTTCATATATATGGGGTGCATAAATTACTTTCATCAGAACTGTTTTGTTTCTTGCATAGCATTGATATGAAAAAGAAATTTTATCCCAGTCAAAAATATGAATATTTTTTCATATAAACCAGTTAATGTTTAATATTGTTTCAAATTTTATAGACATGGTTACATTGCTTATTTAACTAAATCTCTGGTAAATTTAATTATTATTGTGTTTTAATATTTTTAGAAGCATTGTGTGAAAAATGTATTAAAATTTTCTAAATAAGGAATTTTTTCTTAAAATTCTGTAATGTTTTATTTAAATTCACAGAATTTTGTGGCTAAAAAGAAGTTTGAATTTTCAAATTTGCCTTGGAACTTAAAGATGTTTACTGTAATTTTAATATTTGCAGAAGAATTTTTGTTAGAAGATCCTAAGAACTACAGATTTTTAACTTGTGGAGGTTTGGCTGTTCCTGGTGTAGATGATGCTCTAGAATTCCGAAATACTGTTAGTGCAATGTCTATAATGGGTCTTTCTTCAGAAGATTTACATGGTAAGAATATTTTTTGCTTTGTTGGTGAGTTCTACAACTCAATTTTTAAAAAAATCTTTAAAGTGTAATTTTACAACAGAGCCTCAGTTATTCAAATTGTATGATACCAGGATAGATCTGGGTAACCAACTGATTTTTCATATTTAAATTTTCAAAATATTTTTTATTAATCACTTTTTTATGAATATTACATTCAAACTATCTGTTATATTATTTGGTGAACTAATTTATCTTACATATATGTATAAAATTTAAATTGTTATTGAGTGTACACTAACAAAATCACAATTAAATTAAAAATTATGTATAATTAATTAAACATAAGAGTAAAATGAAGAATAATTCATATTTAGAGTAAGCAGAACTGAAACAAGGGGGAGGCAAGCAAGGTACTTAGGTGATCAGCTTAGAAAGGATTTAAAAGGCTAATAACCTGTAGGCTTTGAAACTTAAAAAAGCATAGTTTAAAAATATTATTTTGAAAGTATTGAAACTTACTGCAGCAGTATTTATGATATTTTTATGAAGTCTTATATTCTTGATATTGCTTTTATTCCTTGTGCTACAGGGCCTAGTGCACGATTCTCATTAATCATCTATCATAGCTTTTGATGTCAGTTAGCCTAATATCTCCGTATTAGTGACTGACAGCATGATCTCAAAGTATTAAGCAGCAAAATTATTTAAATATGACTTAACTAATTTACTTTATTACCTTTCTGCAATCAAGTTCCTTTAATACATACTTTTATTGCATGATTTAATTTGTTTCAAAGAAAGGGGTTATAAAAATTTGTATTACAAATAGTCCAGCTGAATTAATTGAAAATAAATAGCATTATTTTATTCTTAAATGTGCTGCACTTTCACAGTACTATATACACTTTTTACTAATGTTAAACTTGACTTTACATTTATAGTAACGCTGCTGCATCAGTGATTTTGCAATATCTTTCATTAATCTGGCTTATAGTTTCTACTGCAGTTTCTTCTGTAGGAAACATGACAAATTTCAACAAGTAATTGGAGATAATTGAATCAGTATTATTTACCATCAGAATTTTCCCCACTTTCTCTGTATGTGTTGGAGATCTAAAGTTCCCCCCCCCCTCTTTTGTTCTTTGAGTAATTTTAAGTGCATGCCTTTCCTTCTAAAAGCATTTTAAAAGCTTATAAAACTGGCTTTGCCCTCCCCAAAGCATTGTTTATGCTGTGTTGCATATATTAATATTTTGTGTTTAGACATCTTCAGGAATAATGAAACTGGAAATTAAACCATTTGGACACACTTGTCTGTTATTGGGGCTGAAATACACTAGTGTCCTATTTTAAAGATCCAAGGATTCAGCGTTTCAACTAACTAGGTGTTCATTTCTTTGAAAATTATATATAGGGTGTACAAGAATTTTTGATACATTTCAAATTATGCTACAGAAATACTAGATTAGGTACTGTAAAATGTTTTTACTCATTATGTAAGTATAAAAATTCATAAATGTTGATATAAGATACTAATATTATTCTAGTGCGATCAAGCATTGCTTGATTTTTATACCTGGTATGGGAATCATCTGAGGAGCCATGAAATTGATAAAAACAATGATATACTGCTTTAATTTGTGCAAATTAGAATAAGACATATGAAAGACTTGGTCTTGAACATAACCTCAAAGGAAAAAAAGTCCAGTAGGGTTGCTGAATGTGTGCTTTTCCTTCTCAAAGCATTTTTAAAACTTCTTATACAAGCCCCCCATGATTACTTTTTCTTTCAGTCTCTTTGCTTGGATGTCGTCAGGAATAATCAGTGAAATTACAAATTAATTTTTTAAATCTATGGAATAAAAAATTAATTTCAGTTGCAGCAAATAAGCCTAAAATGTCTAATAGATATTTGGTTGTAATGAAAGTTTTCTGCCAAAAAACATTCTTAATAAAGTTAGAAAAAAAAAAAAACCCAGAAAAGCAGTAACTTTAGTGCAGGTAGTAATCACCATCACAATCCATGATTTTTTTTCCAACATTTTTCAAAGCCTTTGGCCCAGAAACTTTTTAAGTGCGAGTCCGAAAACAAATCAACCTCATTTTAGACGTCTTGAGTAGAATGAGTCAAGACATTTGAGTTGAATGTCTTGACTCGTAGACATTCAACTCTGTCTTTACTTGACATTGAGTTTTAGATGTCTTGAGTAGAATGGAAGATAGCACCAACAACATGTAACTGCATGTCTGAAAAAGTGATGAAACAAAGGAGCGATGTTGGGGCTATATGGTGGATGTGGCAATATCCCATTTGAATCCATGTAGAGTCCAACCAATGAATGCAGACACATGTGGTTTTGCATTATCTTAATGGAACATACCCTTTTTGCGCCGAAACTGAAACAGTGTGACATTTTTCCTTATAGCAGCATCAACATGGAGTAGCATCTCACTGTTCACCTTACTGTTGAGGGTTTTACTTTTTCTGAGATACTCTTTGCAGATAATGTCACGGCATTACAACCAGATACAAAGCATGATTTATTTGTCATAATCTTCTCCAACTTCATTCTATTTTTTATTATTATTAATAATTTCAACAATTATTTGTCTGCTAGTGAGTATTTGAAGGATTCACAAGTGAAATAGATAATAGATCCAAAAAGTGAATCACTCAGCACTCAGCATTAGAAAATGCAATCGGAAGGTTTAAAAATATTTTTGCCTATCTTGCTTTCACCACATTTTGCTTCATTTCCTAGTAATTTCATCACCCACTTCCATCTTATTTGCATGTTATTATGATGTATTTGTGTTTTTATTGAATTATTCATACTTAAACACTGAAATTAGTCATGCGTACCTACCTATTTATATTACCAAGAAAAAAAAAGTCATGGAAAATTAAAATTGCATAATCTTATCATGAACCGTACCTAATATTACTCCCCCAACCCTCTTTGTAAAACTCTTAAAATTGTTTAATTGCAATGAAAAGTGTTATAATATTGGATTGTTATGTTTAACTATATTGATTATTCACTTTATTTTTGTTTTGACAATGATATTTAGCATTGTGAATTTAGTTAGCTTTATTAAACAGCATTGTTTTAACTTCATGATAGTTACATTGTTTAAAACTGTGCATGTGCATTTAAATGACTGATAGTATTCAGTCACAGAGTTTTTAAGTACAAATATCATAGAAGTGTTGAAATATTTTTTCAGCTATATTTAGGATTTTATCAGCTGTATTGTTGTTTGGAAACATGGAATTTCAGCAGGAACGGAATTCTGATCAAGCATTTTTAAGTGAAACAACTGTTGCCCAAAAAATTGGTACTTTACTTGGTTTAAAAGTAACTGAAATGACAAGAGCTTTTATTCGGCCCAGAATTAAAGTTGGCCGAGATTTTGTTAGTAAAGCACAAACAAAAGAGCAGGTAACCATTCTGCATTTTGTTAATAATTTAAGATAAATAAGTTTTCATGTAATTTTCAATTTCTTATGCAAAATAATGATAAATTTTTTAATTTAATAGGCTGAATTTTCAGTTGAAGCTATTGCAAAAGCTTGTTATGAACGTCTATTTAGGTGGCTCGTAAACAGAATAAATAGATCTCTTGATCGAACAAAGCGACAAGGGGCGTCTTTCATTGGAATACTTGATATTGCAGGTTTTGAAATTTTTGAGGTAAGGCAATATTTTGTGAAAATATAAATATCATAATATGTTATAATTTTTTCATTTGAAAGAAGGAATTTAATGCTTTTAAAGCAAGAATAAGAATTTTAAGAAAATAAATTGTCTTTTATGTTTCATTTTAGATGGTTTCTGTTGATTTATATTTCATTTTCAGTTAGTTATGTTGCCTTGTTCACTTGAAAATTCACTCATTATCATAGCTTATTTATTTTTTTATAAATGCTTAACTATTTAAGATTGTGTTTATTCGTCTTTCTCTTTCTTTCTTCAAGCAAATTGCTTTAGATATATTTTGAGGGCATGGAATTTTTGCTTTATTAATATTTTGAGGACATATTTATTATTTTTTATGCATATGTATATATCATCATAAAAAGGAAAATCAATCACTTTAGGAGATGTGTTTTTTTACACTGTTTTTGAATTACTTTTCCTTGACTATTAATGTGCTTTCTTAAATTATAACTGTGTGTTTCTGTTTCTTATAGTTAAATTCATTCGAACAATTATGCATAAACTACACAAATGAAAAACTACAGCAACTTTTCAATCATACGATGTTTGTATTGGAACAAGAGGAATACCAAAGGGAAGGAATAGAATGGAAATTTATTGATTTTGGCCTTGATTTGCAACCTACGATTGATTTAATTGAAAAGGTAACTTTATAAATAAGTGTAAAAATTTTAACCATTAAAAATCATATTATTTATTTTTCACAGGTATACATGTAAATACAAATGGCCCATTTTCCCAAACTAATTTGAATAGAGCTCTTTTGGATATTCATTGCTCAGACTCGTTTTTAAAAAATTTCATAAATGACTTTTTCAAAATGGATTTTATTTGAAACATATTTTATCACACTTTTATGTATTACTTTTTAAATTTTCATTGAAATCATTTAAAGGAAAATATAGTTAAATTTGAATTTACAGCCATCATTTATAAATTATTAAACCAACATTCCAATCCTGAAGTTGGAAAAATGCATGATGAAATTAATAGCACTGTATTTTATATGCATAAATATTTACATAAACTGTGCCAGTTAAAAAGTTGTATGTGTTAATAAGTAATTACAAGTTTCCAGTTTCTGAAAACTTCCCCTAGTATGCCATTAGCAGTCTGCTGATCTGACTGTTAAACTGTCTACTAAACTATTAATGATATGGTCCATGTATCTCTCGAAGCAGTTTTGAGTTCCTGTATGGTTTGAGGAGGGCTTTGTCTCTGAGCAGTGTGTCTGCCCAATACATCTAGGCGTGCTGTATGAGAATGGTATTCAACCGTGAGCTGAATGCACAGTCTAAAAGCAGCTGATGGGCTTTAATTTTTTGTAACAAAATGGGGAAAAAAAAAAAAAAAAACTAAATTAAAAATTTCCTGTATGAGTTCTTTATCAAAATATACATAAGCAATAAGGATAATAACGAAGCAAAGGAAAAATTCAAATTTATTTTTTATCTGAAATGTTAAAGTTGATACTTGTAAGAAATTTCTGTTTTACACTTTGTACTTCAAGAATATTGACATTTAAATATCAAATTCCAGGCCAGTATTTTTTTCAAATAATACAAGTTATTTAGTGCTTAATTTAGTGAGCTAACCTTTAAGTAACTTAATTTTTATTTAAATAAATTCTGAAAGCTTTCCAAAAGGGGCAAAATTGAGATTAAATCATAACAACTCTTTCTTTTGTTTATTAAATTTTTCTTCATCACGCATAAGAAAAATCACTGAAAACACAGGCATGACTCTGAAGCATTTCAGTGTAAAACCTCTTTGATGTTACTCTTGCTAAGAAGTGGTTTTCATGGTTGGTGATGTTTATTATTATTATTATTATTACTACTACTACTAATGGCAGGCACTTGCCTATAACAGCATTTGCCACTACTAAGGCCAGAAGCGGTGATCATTTTATTATGAAGGCACCTAATAGGTGGCCACTGTTAATAATCACCCTAAGCACTGTATTTATTATGAAGGCACCTAATAGGTGGCCACTGTTACCTCCTATGAAGGGACAGAAAATTTTACATCCATGCCTTCTCCGGGATTCAAACTCGGGCCCTTTGGTATCGCAGTCAGACTCCCCTAACCACTATACCGTCTAAGCGGCGGTTGGTGAAATGTATGGAACAAGTTTTTTTGTCAATGTTATTTACTTGCCAAGAAGTGGTTTTCATAAATGAGTGTTGCCAGTATTGGTAAGCTCTGCAGGTCTCTGGTAAGGTGTAGTTTTTTTTTTTTTTTTTTTTTTTTTTTTTTGGAGGGGGGGAGGTAAACGGGGTGACAAATCTGTCCTCTTGAGTTTTGATGGTCTTTCTATGACCTCGAGCTTGCTTTTGTCCAACGGTTCTGTCATCAGTAGCCTTCTGGAACCACGAAATAACATTCTTTGGCATAACTATTGCTATGGTAACTTGAGTTGCTTATCGCTATTTGACCACAACCGTAAATGCTCAAATGGTGCCTTGTTGACATTCTGCAGTCAGTACCTGCCATAAAAAATTTTAATTTATATTAATGTTTTCAGAAATTAGTAGAATGATTTTTCTCCCAAATATTACTGCTTGCATTTATGATTAAGGAAGCACTACTTTTTCTACATTAAAAGGTCTTGCCCAGAAGCACCCTTTATGCTTATTTTTCCTGCAATTGTGCACCAGTTGAGAATGAAAATGTGCTTAAATCAGTTGTGGCTTAGGAATTGTCAAGCTGTGTACTATATTATCTTATACACCAGGAAAATGTGAGGTTTTATTTGCTATTTTAACTTTCATATGCTTTTTTTATTCTTTTAAATTTATAATGTGTATTTCTAGTAACAAGTGTTATTATTTATGAATGTTTTGTTCTGACATTCATTTATATTGCAGCCCATGGGAATCCTTGCATTGCTTGATGAAGAATGTTGGTTCCCAAAGGCAACTGTGAAAACATTTGTTGATAAACTGGATACATCACACTCTGTTCATCCTAAATACATCAAATCTGATTTTAGAGCAAATGCTGATTTTAGCATAATACATTATGCTGGAAAAGTAAGAATATTTTATTCTTGTATAGATATTTTTTGAATATATAAAAGTATTTTTTCCTTAATTTTATCATTCATCAAACTTCACTGAGTAGGCTATATTATTTATTATTTGGATTTTTAAGTAATCCTTAACTTTGGCTTAGGTTGATTATTCTGCAGATAAATGGCTGTTGAAAAACATGGATCCCTTAAATGAAAACATTGTGTCATTGCTTCAGAATTCACAAGACCCATTTGTTGTGCATATATGGAAAGATGGTATGTAGGATAAGTCTCATTTTAATGAACGTAAAAATATAGTTTAAAAATTTTGCATAGTAAAATACATATTTTAATCATCTTGTAGACTGAAATCAGCTTTTGTATTTGTTTATTAAATTTTTGCCATAAAAGTATATGTGTTATGACAGTATTAGTGAAATTATGCATGATTTAATAGATGAAAATCAAATTTGATTGGGAAAAGTAATAAAATTATAGTTTATAATATGTTCCTGGCTTTAAAATTTTTTAATGTTGAATAAGATAAATATAAATGCATGTTGTGGTATAATGTAATAAAAAGTTAAATAGACAACCTGTGTAAATATTTTCTCATTTACACTCTTTAATATCTGATGAATAATCTTTTTTATGCATATAGCTCTACCAGATTTATGAGCAAAGCTCAATGAAATAAATCAAATAATCAAATCTTCCTTCAACACAGTCAAAATTCCTGTGAAGCTTGCTACATATTTTCAATATTCAGATGGTTTTTACTGCAAGCTCACTAAATTAAAAATAAATGAAACTTATTGATTAAATATTTAGAAATTTTGATTACCAAATACAAAATGATAAATTGTAGTTCATGACTGATGAATATTAAAACTTATTTTTTTATTTTTTAGTATTCTAATTTTTTTTAAACTTTTTGTTACTAATGTACAAGTTTAGTTCCTGTATAATTTTGTAACATTCATGTTAAAATGTTGTATTACAGCTGAAATTGTAGGTATAGCTGCAGCAACTATGGGAGATACTCAGTTTGGTGCTAGGACTAGAAAGGGCATGTTTAGGACTGTAAGCCAGTTATACAAGGAACAGTTGGCTAAACTTATGGCAACATTGCGCAATACGAATCCCAATTTTGTTCGCTGCATTATTCCAAATCATGAAAAAAGGGTACATGGATTATTTTGTTTTTAGATGTAACATTTATTTTATTCTAAACTTTCTGAAGCTCAGTTTTTTTATTTTGATTTTTTAGATCAAATTATTACATATGTTTAAAAAAATATAATTAATTTAATTAAAAAGCTTTATTCCTATTGCTTAGATTTTTCAAAAATCGAATGTCATTAAATCAAATTTAAAGTTTTGAATTTGCTACTAAAATTATTATATATTTATAAAATTCTTTAGATGGTTGTGCATTGAGACCTTAATTTTGAATCTTGTTCTTTTACTATTTTTGAATTATGTCTTAATTTGTAAATAAAGGTCTGTATGTAGAGTTCTGGTAATCTGCAGATGCCTGTAATTTGTGCTAATTTTTGGTTGTTTTTACTTTCAGAAAATTCAATGTCCCAAAATTAATAGCAATCCACTCTTATATACATGAAATAAGCATTTCAAGAAAAACTCTATGTTTATGAGATTCATTATGTATCTATGACGATGAGTAATTGCTATGAGTGTTGACATACAGGCCATCTTTTGAGCAATCATATCTTAATGTGCTCTGGGAGAAAAAGAATTAGAATACAGCACAATGCAAAAAAGAATGGTATATGTTCATCCCAAAAGAAATATTGGGACAATGCATGCAACATGGATCGTAGCACTACTGTAAAATAACTCTAGGAAGATCCCATAGAGCGGCAAGACTTCTAGGTCCAGAAACTCATGGTATGCCATAGACATGGTTTCAGAGAATGTGATAACATAAATCAAAGGAAAATCAGTCCAAAAGGTGACACTCATGTTAAACCACTATGATGCTTCACAATGCAGTATTCCAGAGGTCATTTTCAAAATTTAGTTTCAGGGGTCTAGAATATAAAATTGATTTGCAGTTATCTGTTGGGGAATTTCATTCTTTAACATTTAATTTGCTAGGTTTTTTTATGAAGCATCAAGATAAAGCTGGCCTATATGCAGCAATAAATGGCAAATTTTGAGCTTTTGCTGCATAAAGTGTCAGCAAATGCTGAACTGGCTGAGGTGATTTGTTGAAGGCATGCATAATGAGTTCGAATATGTGTTGAGTGCAATACATAGCAATAATCAAAAATAGAACTGAAACTCTTACTTTTTGAAGTTAATCTGAAGAAGTTCAATTATATATCATTGTATTGTTGTTGGACGTATGCATGTATGAATAAACGAGATCCATTTTATTTCACACCACGTGAGGGGTAAAAAAAGACAAAACAAGCATTAATGAAATTTACAGTTGCCAAAGCAGATTCATAGCTCATCGTAATTTGCTTAAGCAGCTCTCCTCGATTTAGGGGCTTCTACTGATATGTTCTATGAATTTTCCTTTATTGTCTACACCAGGGATTGCCAAACTTTTTCGGTCACAGGCCAAAAAGCGGGGGGGGGGATTTGGTGGACCAAGATACATTTTTCTAGAATTTTTAAAACAATATACAAGTATTACAATTTAAATATGTTAATGAGATGAACGAAATTGCGATTTCATTTTTAAAAGCTCCTTATATTGAGGTTCGAAGTGAGATATACTGATTCTAAGGAATGAAGCTAAATGCTCATCTGTCAGTCTCCTTCTGAAATAATTCTTTCTAAGGTTCATAGTTGAAAACACTTTAACACTGATTTTCTGAGCATGAGATATTAAATTTGGGAAACTTACTTTCGATAATGATTTGTAAAACTCTAACTTTGACATATTTAGAAACAACTGCTGGAGATGATAATTAGATTGCAACTCAATTGGTTCAAGCTGCAAATCTGACCTCACTGCTTTACAATTTACATTGAAAGGCATGGTAAAAATATCCAGTTCTGTTTTGAATGGCACTGAAATCTTGAAATCAGCGTTTGAACTCAAAATGCAGTTTTTTCAAGCCATCTTCATAATTCTTAAGCTTCTCTTCATTTACTTAGAGTATTGAATTTAATCTCGGGAAATGAGACGAGTCGTTATTAGCTAGCTGCCCAGCAAACAGGTTAAGTTTTAGTTTAAAAGCTTTGAGATGGGTCATTATCAATAAATTGATTTTTCCCTTGCATCTTGACATTCAAGTTTCTCATATGACAAAGAAAATCTGTGAAAAATCCAAAACCATTCTGTATCTTCTAACATTTCACACTCCTCAGAACACTGTTTCTCATGGGAGAATGACACAATTTCATCTTTCAGCTGCCAAACTGACTCGAAAACACATCCTGTACTATGCCACCTTACTTTCTTGTAATACAGTACATCAGAGCATTCAGATTGCACGGACTGAAAATATCTCAAAATTGCCTGTAAGCCCACGAGATAGAGTAGTATTTACAAGCTTCACGACTGCATTTAAGCACGTGTTTCATATTCAAAGCAGATTTGCACAAAGCATCCTGATGTAAAACACCGTGCAGAAAAAACAACATTGTTTTTGGGATAGTTTTGATTAAAGCTTCTGAGAATTACAGATTTTTTTTTTCCTACTATCATATTTGGCACTCCATTAGTCGTAATATTGCATATATTTATTATAGGCACTTTCAAAGTTAAAAGCCCTTCCAGAAATTCACGAAAAATATTACATCTAGTTCCTTTTAAAGAACGTATGCATGCCACTTCCTTGGTAATTTCAAAGTTCTCTCATCAACACCTTTTATAAATAATACTAATTGAGCAGTATCATTTATATCAGTACTTTCATCCATAGCTATGGAGCAAAATTTAAACTGGCCAATCTTTGACTCTAAATGTAATGTCAAATTTTTACTGATGTCTTCGATTCTAGAAGTTACCATTTTTTGAGATAACCTTACAGTTTCAAAATCATTTTTCTTGTCTGGACATAAAACATCACAAACTTGGAGCATGCATTGTTTAACAAACTCCCCATCACTGAGAGCTTTTTTATTTTTAGCAATATTGTATGCTACAATGTAACTTCCATGTGTAGCTGCTTCTTGGATACTCTTTACCTTCTTAAAAATTTTGTCGGTCTAGTAATTTTTACAAAGACTTTCTGCATTTTGCTTTCTTTCATATTCAACATTGCTTCATAATTGGAATTTTATGATCAGATATGAAATGACGGAAAATGTTATATTCTTTGAAGACTGTTACAGCTTCATTGCAGATGAGACACACTGGTTTATCTTTTACAAATGTAAAAAAATATTTCCAGGTGCATTTATCATTAAAAGCATATGGCACTCTGAATCAACATTATTTTTTTAGTACCCATTTTGGTGTTGAAGTATTTTACGAATAACCCAAACAAGCACTATCTACACTATACTTTTAAAAATTTTACCATTATTGACAATGATGCTATATGTCCGCAATCTTTCCATATGCAATCAATAATATTAGAGCTCATGCTAAAAGAAAAAGCGGCAGGCTGGATCTTAAAATGCGCAGTCTGCCATGTGTGAGGTCTGTTTCACCTATATCAGATTCCCATATGTCTGCTCCCCAAGAAAGAAATAACGCTTGTTGGCGACAATCTACAGCTATAACTAACAAAGAACTTCCCTTTAACACTTTACCTATTGAAAGCTGTCTGTGCTTGGTATTTCCGTTGATTTATCTTTTGTAGAACAAAAATAGAGAAAATAAAAAGATCATCAATCCTTTAAAATGAATGAAGGGAAAAAATAACATTTAAACTAAGTAGAAAAGGAGATGGATGTATAATATATAAATATATATTTCTTTTAATTTGCCGCCCGCGGGCCATAGTTTCCCCGTCCCTGTTCTACACATCTGCATAATTGTAGTGCAGTTTCTCCGAACATGAGCATTAATCTCGCAATATGAGAAATTATCTTTCTTCAGTGCAGTAACTGTTTCTCTTCCAAAAGTTCATCAGCTGTAAATTCTGTCCATTTTGAATTAAGGCACATTCACTAAGAACATACTGATTCACTGTTTGGGGTTTGCTTTTCTTCTTAAAAAGCCCTTTGTTATCTGTAAATTTGCTTTTAACTGACATTGTAAACATATTCTCTTTGCATATACAACTGAACTTGTAATCATTTTCATTTTACATGTAAATAACCCCTCTACTGAATTTGTTACAGTTTCGTTAAACAGCAGTGAGTGATGTTTCTGGCATGTGACAGGTTCTTAAAATTGTTAAACTAATTCACAAATAAGAATTTTCAGCTTTAATATAAATTTTAAATGTAAAACAAAATCTTATAATTTATAGGTAAATGCTTTGCTGTAAATTAGTGAAAGTGTAGTTTAAGATTTTTTTGCTGGATCTCTCATGTATGCGTAGATCAATAGCTTTATAAATTGTTACAGACTGATCATTTTATAAATTGTTACAGGCTGGAAAAATTGATGCACTTCTTGTATTAGACCAGTTGCGTTGCAATGGTGTTCTAGAAGGTATTAGAATATGTAGACAAGGATTTCCTAACAGAATAGCATTTCAGGAATTTAGGCAAAGGTAAAATTAATAATTTGTTTTACCCTATTATGAATAAAAGCTGCCTTGATGAATCATGTTTTCTAAGAATTATCTTTTTGAAGTCAGCCTTAAAGTATTAAATATACAAAAATTTTATAAAAAAAATAAATATTGAATTTTATTCATATTTTTTAATATTTTATATTAAACTTCAGTGATTATCTAATTTAATTACATATGCTATATTACAATCATCAAAGTAATTTTTTTCTTCATTTTTCTTGTTATCATAGGTATGAATTACTTACTCCAAATGCAATACCAAAAGGTTTTATGGATGGGAAGTTAGCTTGTGAAAGAATGGTAAACTATTTTCTTTTCTAAATTATTATAATTTTTTATTTGTTTTCACAACTTAAAATATGAAAAATTTTAAAAATTATTGTTCATTATTACTTTAATTTATTGTGTTCAAATTGTAAAAGAGATTATCATAATAAAATTCAGTAACTGAAGCACAAATAGTATTAGTATTTAGTATACACTATAGTTTAGCACAAATAGTATACACTAATTTTCTGCTTTTGCCAAGCAATGACGTTTTCAAGAATCTGCATTTAAAAAAAAAAGAAAATTAATCTTGCAGTGGACCACATAAAGATCAGAAATTCGTATGTACAGCCTCCTCACAAGTCACAGTCTTTGAGCTGTTATAAGGTGTGAAACAACATGCTGTGACACTACAGGAGGAATTAATTTGTTCAATAATGCCTCTACTTGATATTACAAGAGTAATAATTTCACAGATAATGTCAGAATTATAATGATCTGCACCATGTCTGTTGTGAAGGGCTCTTGAATTCAGGACACTGACTAGCACCTTTGATATCGCCTTCAACTATAACCAGTTAGAGGATGTGAAATATGACAAAAATTTAAAAGGGCATGACTAATTCAGTCTGTGAGTCGTCCAAGACAGGGCAAGCACACAGAATGTTTAGGATTAGTTTTATGTCAAATAAGTGTTGCTGAGGTAAGATAATTATTGTTCTGAATTGCTTCTTTGAAATGTTTAACCCTCTCACTGCATACTTTTTTTTATCAAAGTAAGTTCAAAAATTGTGTATTTTTTATTACATATTTCAAATCTACATATATTTTAGGGTTAAAATGTACAAAAAATTTTTTGTAAAAGAGTTCCCCCCCCCCAATATAGAATTAGATTATAGAAAAATGGTTGTCAGAATACTGAAATTGAAGAATAATTATATAAAAGGAAAATTTTGAAAATTAATATTGGTTAAATTATGATTTATTTTATAAAATATAAAGGTAAAACATACATACTATATATCATATATATCAATTTTTTCAATCAATCAAAACATATATATCAATTTTGTACCACTGTCGAACGTTTTCAATAGAAACTAGATTTTCAGATTCAGCGCTATCTGCAGAGGATTCCGAGAAATTCTCATCAGTTTTGCTATAACTATCTTCAATATACTTGAAATCAGAGTCGGAACTATTATCTGTGTCGGAAATATCGTCAGGAATATAGGTTATATCACTCGAGAAACAGTTCCTGCCAGACATCTTTGAACTCTGAAAAGCGAGCGCAAAATGCTACATGACATATTCTTGTATAATTAAGACACAATAACACGCCGAATAAATACTAATTCAGAAGTCAAACAACAAAAATCAGCGTTATATTTACAAAATTTTCACAGGACTAGTTTCGATGGTTTTACTGAACCACCATCTTCAGCTGCAAAACCGCTCATTTGCGGTTTTGCAGCTGAAGATGGTGGTTCGGTAAAACCATCGAAACTAGTCCTGTGAAAATTTTGTAAATATAATGCTGATTTTTGTTGTTTGACTTCTGAATTAATATTCTTGTATATTTGTAGAAATTGGGATAACTAACGTCATCTGTTAGCCCACATCTAAATAAACAATTAAACATTACAGAAAAGCCGAAAGGAAACCTTGAATGGGGAAAGAGTGGGTTGCACAGTTAAATAGACAGCAAAAATTCATACTCGTGGAAATCGCGGGTTGTGCAAATTTTGATACTTCTACGTTGTCTGTGGAAATCTTGGGATACGCAGCAAGAAGGTTAAGCTCCTGAACTAAATAGTTTACCTCCATTACCATTTTCTTCTTAAATGGAATGGTTTATTGTAGTTCATTTGCTATCTCGTGTTTCTGCATGTCGTACAGAAGATTTAACAAGCAGCTAAATAATTTCTCTTATTTATGTTGTTTTAGCAATAAAAATAGCATTTTCTTAGTAAAGCACATTTCAAATGAGAATGGGAAATTAATCGTAGCTTGAATAAATGAAACTTTGGAAAATCCTGTGAAAGCTTTTCATAATAATGGTAGTTTTTTAAGGCATGCCAAGTTACTTTTGGAGGCATGGACCTTCCAATGATTATTCTTTTTTATTAAACTTAATGTGTTATATATCTTAATATGCTGCAGATAAATAACTGCAATTATGTTTATCTCTCTTCATAAATAAGAAAACTTAAAAGAAATAATTGGTATGCTGTTCAAATATTTTCTATGATCACTCTGTTTTGTGTGCAGGAAATACTACAACAGAAAAGTATAGGAAAAAGCTAATAACTAATTATTGTCTCTTTCTCCAACAATAGCTAATTTGTTCATGAAAGATTAGGGAAAAGGCAAACATTAACTTGAAATTTTATTGAAAATATTTATGTTGTATTACAAAAATATTTGCAAGAAATTATAAAACAATTTGAGGATATTTTAAGTAACTTCAGAAAATCTAAGGCTGTGCACAAAAAAAAAAAAAAAAAAAAAAAAAAAAAAAAAAGTTAATTCATAGTTTCTTAACTAAAATATTATATTTTAAGAGTCTTCTGTAATTTTGAATGAATTAAAATGAAGCTAAATTTGTTGCAAATTGAAAATTATCCCCTCCCCCTCAAAAAAAAAAAAAAAAAAAAACATAGAAAAAATAACATTGGAAAGCAAAAACATTGGAAACAATAAGATTCTGACAGTGTTGATCATTTTGGACAAACAGTGGAGAAAGAAGCAGTATGGAATAAAAATAACTGACGTAACTTATTCATCATTGTAAGTCTACCATATTAGAGAAAATTTTGATGCTAGATCAACAGTACATTAAAAAGAAATTTTGCAAGAACAAGGAAATTTCTGCATATAATAGATGAAATTTTGAAGTTCTTTAAAACGTAGGTTGACTCGTATAACAAATTAGCCCTCAAATTTGGTTTCATTTTAGAATGCCATTTGTAATTTTGTAAATGTTAACTGTTTAATTCATATTTTTGTCTCATCTTGATTCTTTTCTGAGAAGTTATTGCTTTATATTTTATTACTCCATTTATAGTAAGTTCCTGAGTTATACAAATAATACATTCCATAAACTTTATGCAACTTGAATTTTACATAAATGAAATTTGTAAATTGCTTAAGTATAACTACGTAAGAAATTGCAGTATTTACTATCATTTTATCTACATATTTACATTAAACCCTGACTGTTTTCACTAAGAAAGCACAAATTTCCCAAAACTTCTATGAGAAAAAAATTTCTTGATTTTAATGTAAAAATTCTCCTAGTATTTGTGTACTTTTAATATATTGGCTTAATTTCTTTGACATAATTTTAATATGCATATATATATATACTTTCTTACAGGTATCACAAAAAATATTCTAGGTCGTATGTATACAGCGTTGCCAGTTACAGGGTTAAATAGAATAAGTTAAAATTTAAATACTTTCTCTGATATAAACTCTGAAATTATGTAAAAACAAAGTGATATAACACTTTTCAAATTAAAAAAAAAAAGTGTTGTAACAATTATTTGGTTCTGTAATGCTAGAGCAGGCACTAGAAATGGACAGTTAAGAAGACAACTGCCGTTATGTGGCAATTCCAAGCCTTGGTAATGTGGAAAGCTGAAGCTAGTCATGTTTAATGGAGTTGTTATCTTGGCACTGTTGTGAGTGGCATCTCACAAACTAAAGTAGGTTGTCTGACTACTCACTTTTTTCCATCATAGATGGCCTTGTAGCAACAGATGCAGCTGCTAATCAGTGCTTGGAACTATCTAGTCTAATTTTGGTAGTTTCATATCTGTCAGGTTAAAAACCTCAGCTGGTCCTTTTTTTTTGAAAATTTTTTAATGTCTGGGGGTTAGCATTTAAATTTTCTTTGGAGAATGATTTCATCTGAATAAGTTTATTATCCGTAAGTTCTTTATCATGACACAAAATAAGCTCATTAACATCATTATTCACTTTCAGCTTGAGAGGCACTGTCAACTGTACACAAGTCTCCATTGCTTGCTATTATTCTTCTGTCAACTTAACTACCATATCAGTCATTGAATATATTATACCTGGATAGCCAGACAACTGAATAGTGTTTACATTGTGTCTATGAAATATGGTCCTGCTTCTTCTTGGGAATGATTGTGACCTTTAATAATCATGCATTTTTCATGCTTTCAGTAATGCAAGTATTATTATGCACTGTCCTATTTTTTGAAATTCTACTGATAAATTATTAAACAAGTTATAAATTTATTTGTTTTATATTGAAGATATTTTGTATAATTAAATTGTTTTTTACAGTTTGATGAAAATTTCTGTTATATTTACAGATTTATGCTTTGGATCTTGATCCTAACCTGTATAGAATTGGTCAAAGTAAAATTTTCTTTCGTGCTGGAGTACTAGCTCATTTAGAAGAAGAAAGAGACTTGAAGATATCTGATTTAATTATTCAATTTCAGTCGTTTTGTCGAGGTGCATTAGCTAGAAGGTAAGCACTTCTATTTTAAATTTTAACATTTTGCATTTTCAAATGTCCTTCCCTCATACCAGAAAAAAATAATATTACGTTTTCTTTTCTTTTTTCCACCACCTAGGAATTTCCATAAGAGATTACAGCAGTTGAATGCCATCAGAATTATTCAGAGGAATTGTGCTGCGTATTTAAAACTGAGGAACTGGTCTTGGTGGCGACTTTATACCAAAGTAAGCTATCCTGTTTAAGCTCAATCTAAATGTTTCATTAGCCACTACCACAGATTATATGATTACTTTTAATAGTTTATATGTTAATGTATGTATCTACACAATATAAATAGTTAATGCAGTAGAAAGTCTAAGATGTGGACTTGTCAGGACTTTGATTCCAGATTTAGGATTTTACCGGATATTGCATTGTCAGCTTAAATCTAGTGAGATAACATGTAGAAATAATAAAATTCAAAATATGAAATAAGGAAGCATTTATGACCTATATAAAATCAAAATTTACAAGAAAAGGCCAAATATTTATTTGTTTGCTTTTTTAAAAAAATTTTCTAGTGTATGTTCTTTTAAGTTGCTCCTTTTTAATTCTATACATAAACATAATTTCTTGTTAATATGAAGTTCCATTGCTCAAATCCTGCAATTGTTGTATGGAGAGTTCACACTAAATTGTCAACCAAAAATTTTCCATTCTTTACAACCTCTCTGTTACTTTCTTGACTGTCAGGGGGGATATTTTCTGGATTCAGAATTGTATTCCAAATTTTGCCGTTTTTTAATTTCATTGTGATTATCATCACAATGAAAAATGTATGTTATATCATCTTCATTTATTGTCAATTCTTCACATTTCTTACGAATTCTATAAGTTGCAAAATTTCTCTTTTTGTTTGCAATATCTGAAAACTTTCAAACTGATGGCAGTCATCCATAGGTAGCATCCACTTTACACTAGTCAAGATATATCATGAGCTTGGCCACTAAAGATGTGCTGTTCTGCTAAATTTTGTCTTGTTTCTATTGCATGCTGATGAAGTTAAGGCTGAATTATATTAGTTAAGTAATTTATTATACTTGTGTCAATTTCTCATGCCTGTTTAAATCTTATCTTGAGTCCCAAATAAAAAATTCCTGCATATACTTAAGATCGAAGGATGGTGCTAGACATTTTGTGGTCCGGAGCAGTTTCCATAAGTCTAAATTCTGCTGCCAAAGTACTTCCGTAAATTAAAAAAATTTTGCATCCAACTGCCTTCCTAAAATTCAGAAAATTTTACTATACCTTAATTTTGTTGTTCAGTGTATCTCTAAATTCTAAAAATGTGCTTCCTTTAAATTTGGCCACCTGATATGGCTGCACCAGCTCTGGCTAAGTCCTGGGCTTATCTGAGTAACAAAGCAGTTATTCTCCATGCAAATAGCACTAAATATAACCTTTTGGATCTTTGCAGTGCAGTTAGCTGAAGTCTGTAATCATTGCTAGGTGTAATATCAGCATAAAATGTTTACCATAGTGTTTGGTGTTCAGTTACTAATATTTTGGGGAAAAAAATTAGATATCACTGCATGAGTTATTTTTAAAGCTGTCATGTGGTGATAATCACTCAGTGAGGAAAGCAAAAAATAATAACTTACCATAATAGCATTGCAAACACAAATTATCCAGTAGGTGTAAAATCAAAATGTTTTGATGTAGAATATTTTAGTTCAAGATTTATGCCAAGCAAAATGGCAGTTATGAAACCAATTTATTTATAATACAAATTTTATATTAGTAAATGATTGTTTCTTTTGTATGGTAGTATTTTATTTAATGCTGAAATGAAATTAAAAATTTGGACTCTCCAACTTTTATTTTGGAAAAATATCAAGTGTGCATGCAAATAATAATAATAGGATATCTGGTTATCGAGAAGTCAAGATTTTATGTAATTCCTTGCACTGGACATCCAAATTTTGACTTATACTGTATGTTTCCATAAAAAGTATAAATGTATATTTAGAAACAATATGATTCATTTCTAAAAATGCAATTATTTTGAAATTCTTAGACCAAGAATTCCATAATAAACTTAGACGAAGTCTTGAGTTTATTATGGAAGTTGATTGCATGAAGTAATAAGGGGTGCATTTTATAATAAATGTTAGAAAAGGGATTGAAATTTCATAATGAATATGTTCTGAGCTTTTTTAGGTCTGTGTTGTCACGGAAATTTATCTTTTATATCTGAAATAATAATTTAGTTCTTGTTTGAAGGAATAATCATTAAAAGTTAATTTCAAAAGCTATTTTGTCTGCATTCGGTTAAACTTATAAATGCAGGCAAATATTTTCACTTATGAAATTTATTTTAAGTAAGAACAGGAACAGCTTAACTACCCAAAATTCAGATGTTTGTATTTGTCTTAAGCCAGACTTGACTAAACTGACATCACAAGTTCAGCAACAGGGGAACCGTTGATATCAAAGAGAAAAATAAAGTTCATTCTGTCATGTTTGCTTTTATGTTTAAAGTTTATTGTTTAAAGCTATTCACCAAAAAAGACGAAACATCTTTTTAATGCATACATTTTGGTTACTTTGACCCACTCCAAAAAGGTTGCTGGTGCTTGGAGTAGTCATATGTTTAATTCATTAAAAATTGGATATCTTGATGTAATAGACAGTGTTAAATGCAAAGCATTAAAGGTGATGTAAGGTCTTTAAAGGGAGATTAGAGTCCTGAAAACTTTCTTTAAACAATGCATTCATTTTTATAAAAATTATAAAATAGTCTTCTCTGAGATTGAAATTATTTTTTGGCATTTAAAGGTAGCATTAATGACAAAGCATACTCATAAAAATTTAGTTAAAAAATTTTTTGAATTTAAAAGGATGTTGAATAGTTGTAAAAATTCTAAGCAGAAATCCTGACTAAATAATCAGCCTAAAATATTTTGCATAATATTCATATGTAGAAAAAATTAGTTTTTTATTTTATACTGTATTGCTTAAATCTTCTATATTAATACATATTTATAGGTAAAACCTTTACTTCAAGTAACGAAACAAGAAGAAAAATTAAGTGCAAAAGAAGATGAACTAAGACAAGTAAAGGAAAAAATGGAAAAAGCTGAATCTGAAATATCTGAATTAGAAAAAAAGTTGCAACAGGTTAGAAATAATTGTTAATATTTAATTCTATAAATGTAGACTCACAGAACCAATGATCTTCATTGTTCATTTACATATTTAATTACTGGCAGCCAGTAAGTTTTTCGTCTTTAATGTATGACTTTTTATCTAATCCCTATAGGATGTAGATATTGGAATTTAGAAAGCTGTATCTTTTAATAGCATTTCTTGTAATTTTCATTGATCATTACATATCATTAACTTGTGATTGTGGGTAGATAGAGATCTAGGAATTAAAATATAGTCACATACATGATATATTACAATGTTATACATCATGATGCTTCTCAGTGTGTTTGAAATCATTTAACATGTCTTCCCCCTCCATACTGAGCTGATCTTCCGTAAATAATTAGCTTCGCTAATTTTTGTCTAGCTAGTAAAAATACATGATTTTTTCATGTATTTTTATATGCCTGTATAGGGTTAATATTTTTTTAAATCTTTCAACTGTGAATTTTATTTTAATCTATAGCTATTAATTATAGATTTGAGAATTAAACCTCATAAGATGTTGCCTTTTTTGTTGCAAAAATAAGTTTTATGTGACTTCCCTCTTCCCCCCAAAATGTTTGATTCTGTTATAATCTGTTAGATGGCTTCAAGTGCCAGTAAATTAAACATCTCTTTTTATATGCCACAAATAATTGAGCATTATTGATGCATTTTTTATAATAGTAATACTTGTTTATGTAATTTGTAGTGGTAGTAATGTAATATTTTTTTAATTTGTCATGTGATGCTTTGTTTCACTTTGTGTATAATCATATCAACTTGAGTTGCCCACATATTTTGAAATTGTTTGATTTGAATGAAAACTGCTGTATGATTTTAATTTTTATTAACCTTCACAATTATTACTGTTCGAGATTTGCAAAAACTAACCGTTCTTCTTTCTCGTAATAAACTTAGAATAAAATAACTTTACATATAGAATTCCAAAGCGTCATATTTATTTTCAAAATCCAAAGAACTACAACAAAAATCAGATGGTTGCCACTCTTACAGTGACAAACTATGAAAAGAAAAATAACAACTGAGGCTGGGTTCTAAAAATTAGGTTATAAATATTTTTAAGATTAATCTGTACCAATTATTGAATAATACATCATTTATATTTGATCACTGCATAGTTAAAGCAGACTGCATTTCTGTATAAAACTGTAATACTGTGTACTATTTAATTATTTATTTTTCTAGATAAATAAATTAATCTGTGCTTTATTCTGTGTAGTTATCTGAGGAAAAGACAACTCTTGCTGAGCAACTACAAGCAGAAACTGAGCTTTGTGCAGAGGCTGAAGAATTGCGATTAAGGCTACAGGCAAGGAAGCAAGAATTGGAAGATATTTTACAGGATATGGAAGCCAGAATAGAAGAGGAGGAGGAGAGAAATCAAAATCTTACTGCAGAAAAAAAGAAATTACAGCTAACTATTCAGGATCTTGAGGAACAGTATGTTGTGATCAATTGATGTAATTTTTCCTTTTTTTAAGCTGATTGCATTAAGAATATTTTATTTTAAACACATAGTGAGAAACATCATTAAATATTATTAATTTTTAATTTGTCCTTAATGGCATTATGAGAATGATAACCCATAAAAATATATTATCTGACAGCTGATCTCTTAGCCATATTTATACAGTCAAAAGTTGTTAATACGCACTCTTCGGGACTTCGGCGATTCCGGATTATCGATTTTTCCGGATTATAGATCATCAGTTTATCTCGTAAGATGGCGTGCAGAAATTCTAAAATTAAAATATGAAACCGTAATTTCTGAAATAAAGAACAATTATGATCTAAATATCAAAATTTACAAAAAAAAAAAAAAAAAAAAAAAAAAAGCTTAATATTTATTTGTTTACTCTATTAAACATTTCTTTCAATGTAAGTTGTTTAAGTTGCTTCGTTTTATGTGATAATACTTTCTCTTTAATTCTATAAACAGACATAATTTCTTGTTCAGTTACAAAGTTCCGCTGTTCAAGTCCCGTTAATTGCTGTGCCGAGAATATCGACTAACTTGTCAGTCGAAATTTTTTTGTTTTCACTAACCTCTCTGTCACATTCTTCATGTCTTTATCAATTTTTTGCAGCAGTTCCACTTTGTTGGACATCGAAACATACTTTCGTTTTGTAGATCCTTTGGAAGTTCTATTTGACATAATCGAAAGTTCGTTTTTTTAAATTGCTCTTACAGTCTGCAAAATAACGGGATCCAATTCGGAGAAATGCAATATTACATACGAAATATAATTAAATTACCCGTTTACATTAAACCAGGCAACGATTTTGAACTATACTTGCAAATCCGAGTTCAGAAAACAAAACATTTATTTTACATTTTTTTAAAGAAATAACGTTCTGAAACAACATGTTTCATCTACACAATCAATCGACGCTCTCACCAGAGCATTACGCCATCAAACTTGGCACTCATCCAAAAGTTCAAATTGAAGAATTACAGAAGCGTTGTTGCCACACAAGAAAAGACATATAGTTACAACTTCACACAATAATAAAACAAAAACACACTTTTGAAAAATAGACAATAATAATAAAAATAGTAATAATAAAATTCTTAACAATATTTTCTCGATTATGCAACATCCTCCCCCCCTTTTTGAGTCAGTGGCAAACGACTCAAAAACATATGTTATCCTATTAAAAAGGTCTAGTACATTAGGCTTCTTAACAAGCCGTCCTGACGACGTAAATTTCTGTTTTATATGCTGTACGTCAGTCTGATCGTTTTTCTTATCGTCGTTAACGTTAGGCTCTTCAACTAAATAATTTTCATCTAGTTGTATCTCTAGTGGATAAATACGCTGAACGGGCCTTATGAAAATCCCATTCTGAGTTTTTAGTTTAACTGTTCGAACTTTGCCATCCCGACCAGGAATTTTCTCTATAATTTTACCCAAAGGCCAATACAAGCGTTTTTTGAAATCATCGCCTATTAAGACTATCTCCCCAATTTTAGGCAACCGGGTTACTTTATTTTGTGGTTGTTTCATTATTAATTGCCCCAAATATTCTTTTCGGAAACGGTTCCTTAAATCTTTAAGAAGTTTTGTGCGGTATTTAATTCTTCTCAAAAAATGCTGAGAGTCAATTTTATCTATATCTGCTACATTCGAAGTACAATTTTCAATTAAAAACATTGACGGAGTTAAAGGGATAGCATCTTCAGAGTTCTCCGAAATATATGTTAAAGGTCGAGAATTAATTACCGACTCACAATCGCAAATTAAGGTTTCCAGTTCTTCATAAGATAAAACCGATTTTCCCAAAGAACGTCTTAAAAGTTCTTTAACCATGCGAACTAGCCGTTCCCACCAACCTCCCCACCAGGAGGCTGTTGGTGGATTGAATTTCCATACTATTCTCTTTATTTTTGCCTCATTCTCTATTATGTCCCAGTTAAGTTTAGACATTTCGTTATACGTTCCTCGGAAGTTAGTCCCATTGTCAGAATAAATGGTTCGTGGTCTGCCACGTCTGGCTATGAATCGTCTTAAAGCCAAAAGAAAAGATTCTGTTGATAACGAAGTCACCAGTTCTAGATGGATTGCCCTGTACACAGCGCATGTGAAGAGTGCCATCCAAACCTTCTTACCGTTTTTCAAAAACAATGGGCCAGCTAAATCTACTCCCAAAATTTCAAAAGCCCTATAATCTCCTACGCGATCTTCAGGAAGAGGAGTCACTCACTTCGCAAGACATCGGTTTCGCTTTATATCGTTGACATATTACACACACCCTTTTAACACATTACGCACAGTTTTACGTTGTTTTAGTATCCAGAATCTTTCTCTTAAAATAGATTGAAGCATTTGAGTTCCAGCATGACAATGTTTCTTATGAACTGACTCAATTAACAATGTAGTAAAGATACATTTACTCGGTAACAAAATTGGTGTTAAAAATTCAGAATTGTCTTTGCGTTCCAATATTCTAGTTTTAACTCTTATAATTTTTTTTCATTATCAATGAATACATCAAGTGGATTAAGAGCTCCAATGTCAGGGAAATTTGAGCTTTGAACCAACCGAATCAAAACTTTTTCGGAATTTATGATTTCAGCAACAGTTAGTTTAGATTCTTTACACAAATTTGACTTCTTCCTACAGTTAGAAATAAAACGTAACACCCAACCGGTTACACGAATCATTTTTTCATAATCAGAAACTCTTTCTGCATACCAAGGAGTGGTATCCTCTGAAAAGTTAACATTAATAAGTTTTACCTTCCTCTTTTCCAAGTCAGCTTCGCTCGGCTGACAAACAATATTGGTAGGCCAAAATTCAGGGCTTTCTCTTAGCCAGAAAGGTCCCTTAAACCACTCCGAGTTAATCATTTGTTTAGCAGAGCAACCTCGAGATAACACATCTGCTGGGTTCATATTACCAGGCACATGCCTCCATGATTCAGGTTTTGTCAACTTAGTAATTTCTTTAACACGATTGCTTACAAAGTTTTGACCAATTACCAGGATTTCTGATCCACCATAATGCGACTGTGGAATCACACCATAAAGTTACATTTATATCAAAATCATTAAGAGCTTTACAAACAGAATATAATAATCGGGATCCAATGCAACAGGACATTAATTCCAATCTAGGAATCGTCAAATTCTTAATAGGAGCTACTCTAGATTTTGCTCTTAAGAGAGTAATTTTTACATTTACACTGCATGAATCAACACTTCTCGCGAAAATACATCCTGCATAAGCATATTTGCAGGCATCGACAAATACATGCAATTCAACTGTTGCAAAGGTTCCAATGAATCGGGGTATTGCCACATTTTTCAACAAAAGTATATCAGATAACCACACAAAAAATTTACTTACAAAATCATGAGGCAATACCTCGTCCCAAGAAAATTTCAACTTCCATGTTTCTTGTAACAAAAGTTTTGGAAGCAAAGTTATTGGTGCAAGTATTCCAATTGGATCAAAAATTGATTGTACAATAGACAGAATCAGTCTCTTAGTTACCTTAGTATCACAAGTTATCATATTTACATTTATATTACACCTTAAAGTATCATTGTCTAAATTCCACAATATTCCTAAAAGAGGTGTGTCCCCAGAATGTTTTGTAGTATATTTGGAAGCAACATTGCTCTCCCATCCCCTTAAATTAAATCTGCCTCTCGACATAAGACTTTTGGCCTTTTGAATTAAATCCTCTTGTTCCTCAATATTGTTTAACACCCGTAATACAATTATCTACATAGAACGAATTTTTTAATTTGTCAGCCACATCTAAAAAGTCAGATGGACAATTATTCAAGAGATATTTAATAGACGCACCTAGTAGATAAGGGCTGCAGGAAACCCCAAAAACTACTCTGCAGTGCCTATACACTATTTCTCCCTCATCACTTGGATAGAAAAATCGCAAGTAATCTCTATCCTTCGGAGAAATTCCTAACTGCAAGAATGCTTTCTCTATGTCTGCACTCAGACCAATAGGAAAAAATCTCATTCTGTCTAAAATATCAGGGACTAATTCTATTAAATTAGGTCCTTTCAATAAACACTGATTCAAAGATGGTTTTCCCTTTTCACAAGATGAAGCATCAAAAACGGGTCTTACCTTAGTGCTTTCACTATTCATCTTAATAACCGGTCTGTGTGGTAAAAAGTGGCATTTATTGTTTAATTCCTTTTCCGGAACCTTTTCTATAATATTTAAATTTTCCCACTCTCTAAAACACTTCTTGATATTCCTTCAAAGAATTATTTTCTTTTGCCCTCTTTATCATTTTTTGATGACGTGTCAAAGCAATGCTTTTATTATCTGATAAATTGGTAGATTCGCATTTCCAGGGTAATTCTAATTCATATCTACCATCGGGCCGAATAGATAATTTATTCTGAAAATCAATCTCGTAGTCGCAATGAAGATTTTTCGTTTTACTATTTTCCGTCGGGTCGGAAATACCCAAAACTTCAAGCTCCCATAAAGATTTCAAAGAAGCATTATTTACATGTAAGGAAAGACTTATTAGGGCATTATCCCTGACAGTATCATTTTCTTTACCCATAACCGTCCAACCCAGTTTTGTTTTGACTGCAGTTAAACCAGAGGGTAATTCTAGGTATTCGTCAGTTAACAGTTTACCAATGACATCTGCACCTATCAATAAATCAATTTCACTTTCCTCGCAAAATGTGTCACTGACCTCAATTTTCCTGCTTTTCAATTCCTCTATAATCTGAGCATTCTTGATTGTTGGAACAAATCCACATATCTTTTTTTCAGAAAAAGCTTCAAAACAACACCTAAAAGTGTTATCTAAACTGCTTATGTCAATAGCAAAAAACAGAATGGGTTACAGGCGCAGTTTCCCTCCCCCCAAACAAACCATGAATTACTTTCTCCTGTCGAATAGGATCAGCCTTCATTCGCTTCATAATAATTTTCTCCCCAAC